GGGATCTTGGGCACGCACGCACACGCGCCCGGCCTGTTTTAAGCCACCGGGTCTGGGACACGAACCGCGGTCGACTACGTGGGAGTCCAGCAACATAGCCATTACGCTAACAGCTGGTCCCTTATTATTACTTTTTAAATTGCTGTTAGGTGTGTGAGTTAGCTGAAGAGGGAGAAGGAGAGGCCGGGAGAAAGGGAGAGAGAGGAAGGGGGGGAAGGAAGGGTGAGAGACAGAGAACAGAAAAAAAAATGTGAAAGCATCCTTCCAGGAGGGATGTTTATGCCACAATCCCTTCTCCTTTTGGGATTTTGGGCATGCATGTACATGTGCCTGGGTATTTTTCAAGCCACCAGGTCCAGGACTGGTACAGCGTGGATGGTTATGTGAAATCCAGAGGCCTTAACCACCACCACATGGCTGGCCTGCAGAATTACCTTCAAATGGGGTGTAGGGAGGGTCTAGGCTTCTCTTTAGAACATGGACTTCATGGTTTTACATGGAAAACCTCCTGTGGCAATGGTAATGGCTGAGCTGAGATCTTTCCTTTTTAGGGGAAATGTCTGAGTCATGTGGTCCTCTCAGGTCCAAGATCTGGGGTAAGAGGTATTGGAAATTAACATTCTTAGAATTCATACTGGTTGTGCAGGAGGAAGAGGGAACCCACCATTACTCCTGATTTTTTACAGCAACCATTGCTTTATGGCACAGCTGATGATTTATTCTGAAAGGTGTATTGTTACACATCAGTGTTCTGTCAAGTAAATTTTGTTTCTTATGTTGTTTAAATCTTCTTAGTCTAATTGAATTTTTTTGGTCAGTTTATCTGTCAGTCAGTGAGCTGTGTTAAAATATCCAACTAAGACTGTGGGTTTGTCCGTTTGTCCATTTACTTCTGTCAGTTTTTTCTCCATTTACTTCAGTTAATTTTTTGCTTTGTATATTTTGGCTCTATGTTAAAAGGTGCATATAAATTTGTTTTGTTAACATCTAAGTGTTGAATCAAAACTTTTATCATTATGAAATGTCCCTTTTTTCTCTAATAATTTTTTTAATGCCAGAGGGCACATGCACACATTAAGGGACAGAGAGAAAGAACAGCCTCCTTCCCACCTGCAGTGAGGTCTGGTTTTGCCATAATCTCTTTTCCTACAATTCTCCAACCTGAGCCTGGATCCTGGGCATGCATGCATATGCCCAGGATGTTTTTCAAGCCACCAGTGGCCAGGACTCAAACCCTGTGGCAAGGTGAGATATAGCTTCCTTTGTGTAAGGCCTAACCACTGCTCCACAGGGCCAGCCCTCTCTAGTAATGTTTTTACTTAAGCATTTTTTTTTCTTATTAGGGTCTTGCCAAATTTCAGTTGGTCAGTGTTTTAATGATGTATCCTTTGCCAATTATTTTTTCCCAAAATTTTCTGTTATTATATTTTATATTATTCGTGATTTAAGGAGCATTTAGTCAATTTAATGTTTTTTATCTAGTCTTATGATCTCTGCTTTTTAATTTGAAATCTTCAGTCTTTCTACATCTAAAATAGTTTCAAATACAGTCTGGCATAAATATACTATCAGGCTGGCCTTGTAGCATTGGTTAGTGCTGTGTTTGGGAACTCACATGGCCTACTGCAGTTTGAATTCCAGCTTTGGCAACCTGAAAAACATTCCAGGCACAGGTGCATGTGTGCCTAAAATCCTGATGGGATAGAGAAATGGAGGAAAAGGGATTGCTGTAGTCCATTGGGGAGGTACTTTTTTTTTCTTTTTCTATTTCTCTGGCGAGCATATTCACTCTCTGGCAATTAAAAAAAAAAGGAAAAGAAAATATACAGTTTTCCCACCTGCTTTATGTTTATTTATCTATATTAATTCATTATCCTTTTTTGGTAATGTTAAATAGTATTATTTTTAAATTCTTCAAATTTTGCCACATTTTGCTCAGTAGTGAAAGTTTCTTTTGTCATTTTTGTGGTCTTTATCCTTCAGATTGCAATGTACATTCTTGCTTTATGACAGTCTAACATACCCTAGCTCTTATACATCTCCTTGATCAACACAGGTACCTTTCAACATTATAACTCCATCAATCCCTGACCCAATTTATTGTTGTGCATGCACATACACACATGCACAACAATGGGGGGATGTCTTTCAAAAGTTCATGGAAAATTCATATTATGATAAAACCTGTGCAAGAATATTAATTTTTTTGCACCAAAATGAGCTCATACTTTGATTCCATTTCCCATGAACTTTTTGAAATGCTTTTGTATATATAAATGTTGATATTATTTGAAGAGGGACCGGCGGGTGGCATGGTGGTTGGGGGCATTGGACTTTCACATGGTCGACTGCAGTTCAAGTCCCAGACCTGGCAGCTTGCTTTCTCACTTCCTACTCCCCCCACACACTCTGTCCCTCTCTAGTCAACTTAAAATAAATAAAGTTAAATAAAATAATTCTTTAATAATTATTTGAAGAAATGATTTCTATTAGGTCATCAGGAAAGTCCAGACTCATTTTTGCATAGAAAAACAGAAAAGTACATCATGACTTTCCCAACAACCTAATGTATTATACAGTCAATACTCATTTATATTTCCATATTTGCTATTCTTGATTCATTCTTTTGTGCATTTACATTCTTGTATCTAGTATCATGTTTCTTTGGCCTGAAGATGAATCTTTAGGTGACCAGCAGTTAGCATAATGACTATGTCGCTGGACTCCCACGTAGTCGACCGCGGTTCGTGTCCCGGACCCGGTGGCTTAAACTCAGGTTGGGTGTGTGTGCGTGCGTGCCCAAGATCCTGAGAGGAGAATGGAGGAGAAGAGATTGTGGCATGGCCATCCCCCCTGGGGGGCGATTTCTCGCTTTCTGTCTCTCTCTGTCTTTCTGGCAAGCGCACGCACCCTATAGTGAAAAGTCTCTCCAAAACAAAAGAAAAAAAAATGAATCTTTAGTTTTGAGTTGGCTGGTGACAAATTTGCCTACTTTTTTTTTTATTAAAATGTCTGTTTGTTTAAATTGTGTTTTTTTTTTTTTTAAATTGTAGTGACAAAATTTAGGTCTGCAGTTATTTTACTTCAACACTCATTTGATTTCTTCAATTTACCACTATTTCTGTTTAAAAATTATATGTCAATCTTAGCTTTTGCTTATTTAAAAATAATCTGTTGTCTTTGTATACTTTGAATATTTGTTCCTTTTCTTTGGGTTTCAATAGCTTTATCATGATAGTTCTGGGTTTTTTCTTTATACATATATATTGTTTTTTGCATCTATGCCTTTATATTTTTTGTTATTTTGTGAAATTTCTCAAACAT